TACCCAAGCATACAGTTGCTTCACCTGCGACGCAATCTTCGAGATGATCTGGATGCCGCTGCTTCCGATTCCGATCACCGCAACACGCTTGCCGTTCAAGTCGATTTCGGGATCGTAGTTGGCGCTGTGCACGAGGATGCCCTTGAACGAATGTAGGCCCTTGATGTCTGGCCATTTCCAATTGCTATGCACCGCATCCTTATCAGCAAACGCCCCTGCAGCAGATAAGTGGTGAGCGGAGAAACATACTTCAGAATCCCACCGCCGTTGACGAGGACATTGCATGTATCCACGAACTCGGTCCCATCAGGTCGTCGCACATGAACTTCCCAAACGCCCTGCTCGGGTTGCCAATACGCTCCCGTCACGGTGTGCTCGAGTTTGACATATTTGATTAAACCGTGCTTGTCGACGACGTTCTTGAAATACTGCCATATCTCGGGCGACTCGGAGTAATACTGGGACCAGTAGGGATTCCTTTCCCAGGTGAACTGATATGAGGCGGAGGGGATGTCGCAAGCACAGCCAGGGTATCTTTGGATGAAGTGTCGACGTCAGCAATCATCATTCTAGTCCTTCCGAAACAAGAAACACCACTCGGGCTCCAGAGTGCGCGAGCAAATACCTATTCTCGAGCCACGTTCCTCCGACGTCCTTGTTCTTCTCGTATATCTGCAACTCGATATTCTCACATCGGTCTTCAATAAACTTGGAAAGCGTGATCCCCGAGGCACCTGCACCGATGTGGATCACTCTTATCTTGCGTGGTGTGCCATATGGTTCTTCGTGGATCCTGTATCCCCGGGCATTCTGGACCATCCATCCGAGCTCGTTGAAGACCTCACCTGTCGAGTTGGACGAAAAGCCCTCGCCGTCCTTTGATGGTGCCATATCTGAGTCGCAGAAAAACAGCTGATCTGTTGTGGCCAAAAATCGGATCCGATGATATCAAAAGTGAGAACTTACAACCCGACCTGGCGTCGTGTGTCCAAGGGTCTATTCACCAAATGACGATCTACAAGGACAGGATATATATTTACCGACGATCAGACAGCGCTTAAGCAGCCCCCCCTCTACCTGTCTATGCTTCTTTGACCCGGTGAGCAAGGGGTTGTTTGATGAAGCCATTTTTGGAGGTTGACCTCGGCACTGGGAATCCATCTCCAAAACCTTGTATGCGGGGATTTGCGACAAGGCAAGAGATTCAAGTGGCAACGATGTGCTAAGCCGGATAACGGCACCGAAAACCAAACTGTTCTTTGAAGGATATTGGCTGGTGGGCTGACCAGATACACGCGGTTGCTTCTATCAGGCCACTGGGCTTGTGTTCACAGCTGACGATTCAGTTGCTGAGACTATCCTATCGGTCTGCGAATTGGAGATCAGGCCGCGAGCCAAATTTCGACAGGCTACAAGTACAAGCAAGTATTGGCACTTCTCAAAGAGATGCCGTTAGGTTCATTCATCGCCTAATCCGCCGAGGTAGAAGCCCTTTTGGCTAGGAATCTAAGCTGCAAGGCTGTAAGCAGTAAGGCTGTAAGCAGTTAAACCCCTTTCCGGTCGGTGGGTCCCAGCTCTATTACCTGTACCGCAGGCGGGGCTATTCGAGGAGCACTGAAAGTCCCTGACACAGTAATCTTGCCATTGAGAAGACTCCTCGATAAACAAATCGATGGGCACAATCAGAAATTGTGTCTATCTCTGTTCAGGGTTGTCTTGGCCAAGAATGCGGAAGCCCTGGAGGCCAGGTCCCCTTGGCCTAAGTCTGCCTCATGGGGCATCAAAAGCATGTGTGCGCCGTATATAACAAGGGACAAACAGACGCTCTAGACATACTACGAGCTTTCCCAATTATTAATACATTGTCATCGCCAACGTCAGAGATGACAGTAATATGGCACAACTATCCCTTACCAGAACAGCATTGTGCTGGATGTAAAATAATCAACAGGACCAAACAATGCAACTCCTTCCAGCGTCCGCCTAACTATGTACGGAGTACTAGCTAGACATTCCGCTGATATGGTTCACTGGGCGAGATCACTGTGGAATACGATAAACACGAGAAGCCGATGTGATGTCAGGGCGCGAGGAGGTTTGAAATGAATATAGGATTCTGTTCCTCATACTCCGTGTAGATAGAACACTTTTTGGCCTAAAGTCGAAACATTGGCCACTGCGTCTGTTCGGTTCGCTACCTGGTCGTGTGATATTGAAGGATTGCACACGGCCTTGATTTATGAGCGTCACCAGCGATGCCAGTTGCGACTATAACAAGGAACGATGATGGCCGGACTCACCTCAACATCGGCTGGCGCCAGGAAATCTCTGTATCCGCTCCAGCTCCCATGAACAAGGCGCGGCTATGCTCGGAGTTCAAATCCCTATCCTTCAACACCAGGCGTACTTCTCCTTGGCTAGCCATACAACTTCGTCCGCCGGTCCAGCAGCCCATTTGAGGCTGCACAGATGTTCCTTGTCGCGGGAAATGATCTCCACCTTGTCCTGCTCTTCTGTTCTCAGCCTCTGAGCCGAGGCAACTACCAAATCCAAAGGATCCCAAACTTCTACCCCTGCCGCCATCTCCCATTCATGGGCCTCGAACTGTGCTCTCAAAAGCAAGGCCGCCATTGTGTTTTGGGCATCTACCGAATTCTCCACCGAGGGTGGAATGACAGTATGGAGGATGTGAAGTTGCCACTCTGATTCCTTGGCTGCATAAACGCGACACCAGATCAAAGCTAGGCCAGTGGCTCGATGAATCGCGCCTTTGACTGTGGGAAAGCTCTTGCCCAGGACCTTGGTCTGATACTCCTCTCGGGCAAAGTGCCATTCAAAATGCTCGACATCAGGACGAATCGCAACATGAACCGTACCTGGTCTGGCCTTGGATATCGCCCGCAAGCGATGCTCGAGATACTCAACCGTTGGAATATGCTTCAAATCTTCCATGGTCAAGTCCTCGACAGCAGGAAACACGAAACTGGCTGAATTATAGATGGCTCGATCCATTGGAGTGAGATGGATGTGATTGCTGGGGAATACTTTCCAGCCGAATCTGGCATAGAACTTCTGGCCAATATCAGAGTACAAGACCGAAAAGGGATTCCTTGCACCGGCTGATGCCTGCCACGACTCCAATCTCTTGCCCAATTCCGCCATCATTCTGCCCGCGTACCCTTTTCCGCGGTATTCGGGACGCGTATAAACCGAGGCAATGCCATGCGCTTGAATTTTTTCCACCTCGCCATCTCTGGCCACATACGCGTGAACCAGAAGGCTCTCACAACAGGCAAGTATGGGTCTTGAACCATCGACGTTTGCAGGTAGGGTCTCAGACGTCAAAATCCACCCAGTAATACGACCCGCTTTTGTCAAATCGACAGCCTGGAGAATGACTTCGCGTTCGAGGTATTGGTCCATACTAAGCGGTCCTTGCCATTCCTCGGCATTGAGATAGGCGGTCTGGACGTATTCGAGAGGGGTCGCAGGTACGAGTCTCAGGTCTGGGGACTGGGCTGTTGGCTGAGAAACGGGGTCGACAGCAGGAGGTTTTGAGGCTGTGATATTCGGGTTTGGCTGCACTTCTCTTGAATCCATAACGCCTAATGTCGAACGATTCCTGTGCTAATGAGCAAACAACAGGGTGAGTGGCGGTGGAGGATGAGAGGAACGGGAGTAAAATTCTTCCTGCGGTCCTGTCACAGGGCGCATCGACCTACGTTGAGAAGCAACAGTGTCAGATCTGCTGGAAATCCTCTGAAAAGGCAACGGGGACTCGAATGTAGACTCATTCAGTTGCTAGGCGCGTAGAGAGCATCTTCTTGGTGTACGAAGTATTTCTTTTTCCTTTTTGTTTTGGCAACTCCGGGGAGGGGCAAGAGGGGCTTCGATGGTGGGTGAGAGGCTGGAGAGGCTCAACTTAGTGGCGGGCGGCGGTGGCTGCGTTCCCTGGATTTAGCCGAGAAACGCCCGTCCCCGCTGGCCCTGCACCGCTTACCTATACCCTATACCTCATACTCGGTACACGAGGCAAGACTGGGGCTCCAACTTGAAGCTTCGGGCTTGATCGAAGAAAAGAAAAGGGGGGCAGGGAAAGATGCGACTCAAGGCATCACTTTCAGCCTCACCGCAAGCCTTCCATCGTATGCCCTTGCCTCGTCCGCAGATTGCTGACTGGACGGTGGTTGTCCTGACCGTGATACCTTTGACGGTCGACACAGGACTTGGACAAGGCTTCTAGAACTACCCCTCTTTGCTCTCTTTGCGCCCTCTCTCTGGTCTTGTCGCCTCTTTTGGCTCTTTCTGGCACTTCTTGCCTCTTGCTCTGCTGCCTCTTCTGCTGCGTCTACCCCCTTGCATAACTCGAAACTTCCAACTGGCAATGTCGCCCGTCACTGTAAGCTCTTGGGATGGTATCGCTCTCCCTTTGCCAATGGATTCCTAGTCGCCCGGTTGCTGCCAGCGCGCCAGTTGATCCAATTGAATTCTGCCAGCACCTGGTGCAGTGCGTTCGCCAGTCGGTGCCTTGTACTGCGCACTTCAACTTCAGACCTCACCTCTGGTGCCTCTTCCTACCCCTCGACCATGTTGGGTCTACACACGAACCAAATAAACATACAAGTCTTTCTACGCGAGAATCTTTTTCTCTTCTCCTTCTTTTCCTTCTTGCCCTTCAATCTTTCACATTTGTACCATCACCCTCTCTCACTCCGTGGTCCCTCGTTGTCCTTCCCATAATTCGTCACCGCGCCTCGCCGCAGCCTCGACCATCTGGGCTGGCGCAGGCAACGACAGTTCTTTCCTCTCAACTTCATTAATCTTAGCCTAAAAACTGCATTGTCGAGATCTCTGTGAGAAATCCAAAGTGGTGCGATCTAAGGCTCCTCCACCAGAAAACGCTGTGAGACTCGACCAACACTTTGAGCCCCGCAAACGTCCAAAGCCTCTTTACCTGAGCAAACCTTGGTCCATCCCAACTCAATGAATTGACCTTCAACATGGCCTATCAGCCTATGACCCCTCGGTAAGCAAATTGTCTCTGTCTCCTCCCCCATGCACGAGCCTCTCCCGCTCAACCGCCTTGTGCTGGTGATCGTCGGAGTTGTCTCGACCTGTTCGGAGCCCACAGAGTCTATTCTATGAACAATGCCTCCACAGTTCTACATCATGCTGGCACTAACGACTTATTTCCAGGCTGGATTACATTCCGCAGGACCGTGGCAATATGGCTCATGCCGTGACATACGAATCTCCCACGCGCTTCTTGGACCAGAACGAAAACACCATTATCGAGGTCTCTGATGATGACTCTGACAGTGGCCCACCTCCTCAAGTCTCGCTGTTCAAGCAGTCTCGTCGCCAGCAGCAACCAAGCAGAACTTTGTCCCCAGGGAGCGACGCCGATACCTCCGATATGGAATTTGTACTGGAATCTCGTCTTGCCCATCCTGCTCGAGCCCTCAAACGAACCTGGACTCCCGGTAGCTCTTTAAGCAGCTCTCCACCAGCTGCGCCTCGGGACCGTGGAAAACGTCGTGCAAATCCTGCCCTCGCTCGCGCTCTGGTTGTCGCGCCTGGGAAAGAAGCTCGCTGTGACCTCCAACCTACGCAGCACAGACCCGACGGAGAAGGCACTGCAACCAAACAAGCCACCAGTCTTTCAAGCCCAGGCCATCACACACAGCACAAGGCAAACCTTGAGAAGCAGAACAAAAAGAAGGCAGCACAACAATCACCGTACTACGTCGACGGTCGACTCGAAGTCAAAATGTACCGCGGCCCGGGTTACGAACGTTTTCCCGTCGTTCTCGGCACCGTTGAAGGCCATAAGGAGCTGTGTGATATGTGGGATGCAGATCGGCTCTTCAAGCTGGAAAGAAAGGCGGCCAAATTGAAAGAAGCAATTCGAACACCATATATGATCCATGGCACCGATTCCAATTCAAGCGACGATGAAGTAGAAGGCGAGGGGAAAACAGCATTCGAGAAGAAATGCCTTGCTAGTGTGGTTGATGTCTTTCCAGACATTGAACGCGCGTATGTTGAAAAGAAGATTCGAGGTGCACCTCCACAACCCCAATATGTCGACGAGGATGGTAACGAGATCATCGACATCAGAGCCCCAACCCTTGCCGAAAGAATCATAACCGAGATCTTGGATGAGCAGTCATATCCTAAACAACGTGTCTCTAACTCAACGGCGAATGGAAAAGGAGCTGCCGTCGACGGTACTGGCATTACCATCACCTGGGACAGAGATCCTCCAAAAGACATGGCAGGATACACAAAAGACGCCTTCGTTTTACTTTGCAAGCATTTCTTATATGTTCCCCCACCCTACATCGCAAAGGTGGTAGAGGAGAAGCAGAGCATATTCGACTCGTACGTTACTTTGCAGGGGCTGGAGGACCAGTACTATTCGCTCAAGCCCAGACCTTATCTACGTCGCGTTACACCCCTCGACATGAAAGAATTGGCCCCATTAGGCCGTCACCGCGTCCCGGCAGAGTACGCCAACCAAGTTAACGAATTGCAGGCTGCCAAACAATTTGTCGCCCGCGAGGCAATCAAGGAGGCAGTCAAGAAGGCTAAGGAGGAAGCCGAAGCTCTGAATCTAGCGGAACATATCAAGACGGGCGCGATCATGGAATGCCAGTGCTGCTTCGACGCCGAGACTCCCCTCAACCGCATCGTGCCTTGTATGGCAGATGTCCCGCATTTCTTCTGCTTCTCCTGTGTCGAAGCCCTAGCCGACAATCAAGTGGGATTGCTGAAGCATGAGATGCTTTGTATGGACGCGAGTGGCTGTGCCGCTGAACTTTCTCATGAAGATGTCGGCAGGGCGGTCCCAATCACCACCTTTGACCGGTTGGAACTGAATAAGCAACAAGCCGAAATCATGGCAGCCAAAATTGATGGTCTAGAGCAGTGTCCCTGTTGTGACTACAAAGCGATTTGTCTCGACGTGGCACGGGACCCCATCTTCTTTTGCCAGAACCCAGAGTGTGCCCGTGCAACCTGCCGAAAGTGCAAGAAGGACAGTCATGCTCCAAAGACTTGCGAGGAGAATAATCGCGACAAAACCTTGTCCGCACGGCATTTGGTAGAAGAGGCCCGGTCAGAAGCCATCATTCGGACCTGCCCAACATGCAAAGCCAAAATCCTCAAGGATTTTGGGTGCAATAAAATGACTTGCACACGATGTGGCTGCAGAATGTGTTATATTTGCAATGCAGACATAACGCATCTCGGCGCCAATGCTTACTCTCATTTTGGGGCCAAGTGTGTCTTGTATGACGACACAGGGATCAATCGACACGAAAATGAAGCGAACGAGGCAGAAAAAGGCGCCATCAACAAAGCCAAATCCCTGGATGCCGAGCTCGATGAAAATAAGTTGCGGATTGATACTGGCAAAGCCATCAAACGCCCTTCGGCCCTTCTAAATCATCCTGGGGCCGACGCCTTTCTGCGCGATTTGAACAACCGTGCGGCTCGATTGAATGACCGCCAAACATATCTCCAGAACATGCAAACCCGTGTCGATCGTCTCCGAGCTCTGCAGCCAGATCGCGAGCTCCAAGAAATCCTGGCTGGTATTCGTGCCATGGATGGCACACGCGGGTACGATAGAGCGCGTCCTCCAGGAGAGGCAAGGGTCCACATTCAGGAATTGGAAAACCTCTACAGGCGAGCGCGCGTGCATCTTGCTCGGCATCAACCTCAATTCCCGCTTGCACCGGCAGATCTTGACGCCCCTGCGCATAATCATTATCCTGAGGCTCTCAATGGGGCTCGTCATGTAGCGGGCAATCCCCCTCCTCTTGTTCCTCCGGCTCTCAACAGACGGGCACCAGGGGCGCTGGCTTTTGGTGGCCTTGCTCGACCAGTTGGAAACGTGTCCAATGGTGTCAAGGAGGGTCTTTTGGGGCCTTTCAACTTTGACTTCAACATTGGAGGAGCACAACCGCTCATGCTAGGCTCGAATCGCTCTAAGACAATTGCCCATGCGAACGCTGCGCACCGTCAAATTCCTCCAGCAACGTTACAGCCAATTAACTTGGTCTACCCCCAGTTTCTTGGAGTACCTGCGGGCGGAGCTGGGCACGTCTTCCCCACGGCTGGGAGAGATATCGAGGCAAATGCTATTCAACCGCCAGCTGGTTCTGCTATGCCGGCCCGAGGCCACCAGGGTCGAGCGGTGACACACGTTGCTGCCGTTCTAGTTCCTCACAATACTGCTGGTGGCATTGGCAAGAAAGCTGGGCGAGATTTGCTCCGTCGTTAGTTTTCACAACTCACAAGTCGTTGTTGTACACGACTCCTTTTGGGTGGGATTTGGTTAGCGGCCACATACACTGGGCTTGAATTTTGCCGGGTGGAGGGGCGCTCCGGCGAGGCGGGTAACGCATATCTCGTCCTAACAACCATAAAAAAAGCGGATGCGAGGGGTTTTACCGTGACCTCATGGCACCTTTTGTTTTAGCTTGGTCAGCTACTGGCAAATACGAGCTTTACCACAGCGCAGCAAGCTCAGCAGAGATGGATGTGTCACAGATTCTTCCTTCAGCTCTTTATTCGGGAACGCACCTTCTTGGACTTTGGACCTCGTTGGCAAGGTCGGGCCTTGTCTCCCGTTACTCTTCCTTCAATCACGCATAGCTGCCTCGGAGTAACGCTATGGACATATTGGACAGGATGATACTGTTTGCTGGAATGGAAATGGTCTTCCAGGGTTACGACTGACATGCGCTTGCACGGGGTGGGAATTATTGTCTTCAGGATTATTCGTAGGTTGCATCAGCGCGCGATGGGCCTTGATGTATGTGTAACTAGCACAGACAGATGCTCCATGAGCATCCTTCTCGTTTGGATTTGTTGTGGCCAAACCAACAAGCCGGGACAACAGCGGGAAGAGGAATCATCATAAATAGACTGCAACATGATTAAACGCAAAGGCTGCCACGTGACTTCGCGCGTGTCACGCATATTGTACTGGGTTGAAAGTACGTCACGATTAGCCCAGACCCAATCTGCATCCCGCACTCTTTTCCATTGTCACCGCAGTTCCAAGACCCAATGCTACTGTCGATATCAGGTTGTTCGTCTTGCCAGCTCAAGGTAATTGAGCCACGGTCGTCTGTTTTGGCCCTATCGTCCATCCTCTATGCCCAAACTACAGGCTGCAGCTGTTTCTCGAGTGCCCGTCAATCGTAAACGGAAACGCTCTTCCAAAGATCAGGAACCACCGCCGACAGAGGCCAGCTTCGCTTCCACCGTCGCGGCCACCACCAAAATTCCCACGAAAACTCGGGATGGAGGCTCGAGACCTAAAAAACCGAAAGCCACGACGAAGCCCGCTTTGAGCCGTCGAAGTTCGTCCTCAAGCATGGTTGAATCAGAAATTCCGTGGCCGGATCACTTCAAGTACCTCTCCCAGCTGCACCGCGCCTTGAATATTGTGTACACATTTTGCTGCACCCGAAAGCATTTCGCGACCACATGGGACAATATCAAGAGCGCGGTGGAAGGCCATATCCAGAGACCTTTGATCGAGGAAGACGTGGCGCAGGTCAAGGCCTTGTTGCCGCGAGCGATCAATTTTACTTATGTTGACGAGGAACACCTCATGGTCACGCTCATGGGCGAAGAAGATGGTGTCAGAGGTGGTAGAGCTGATCATTTCCGATCTTTGGGACAGGATGAGAGCACTCCAAGGGACAGGTCGGAGCCGTCCAAAGAACTTCTTCTGTTTGAGTTTGTGGATGGCGACCTGAAAAGACAGGTTGTTGACCCCAAGACAGGGCTGCCCACTAAAGCAACCCAGAAGCTGCGCAACGAGGATCTCAAAATGCCCGTCTTCAGCCAGAAATCAATGCTCAAACTCATCGAGAAGCGCAACGCCAAATTCACGTCTGCCATCAATGCGTTCCTCAATCAGTGTGCCGAGGAGCAAATGGACCCCGTTAAACAGATAATAGACTTAAAACAGCAGTATATGCCCTATCCTTCCACAAGTCGTCCTGCAACGCCCGGCCCGGATGATGGTCTGCCGAAGGCCATACCCAAGGAGCGAAAGTCGATATCGGAAATTGTCAAAGAGATTACTGAACTCGAGTGGTATACCCACCAAATCGTCCCAGATGGACATCGTGTGTTTGATCCTCAGCCAGCTATATATGGCGACCTAAATTTTCAGCTATCGCAAAACCTGGTGAATGCCCTGTACAACAGCAGAGGTATAACTCAGTTGTATTCGCATCAAGCCGAAGCAATCAACAATCTGCACGACGGCCACCATGTGATTGTGTCAACGTCAACGAGCTCGGGGAAATCCCTGATCTATCAAATACCCATGCTACACGAACTTGAAAAGGACCCCGAAAGCCGTGGCCTGTATATTTTTCCAACGAAGGCGCTTGCTCAGGATCAGCGCAGAAGCATGAAAGAGCTCCTGAAGTACCTTCCAGGCCTGGAGGACATGATGGTGGAAACATTTGACGGCGACACACCCATGCGGGAACGGAATCGGATTCGAGATGAAGGTCGCATAATCTTCACGAATCCCGACATGTTACATATCACTATTCTGCCCCAAGAGAGCGGATGGCGGACATACCTTCGAAACCTGAAATTCGTGGTTGTGGACGAGTTGCATGTGTATAATGGTTTGCTTGGTGCTCATGTGGCCTTCATCATGCGACGGCTGCGGCGAATATGTGCTGCGGTGGGAAACCGCAGGGTCAAGTTCATTTCCTGTTCTGCAACCGTCGCCAATCCTGAGGAGCATATGAAGACGATCTTCGGCGTGGACAAAGTCAAGTTGACCGATTTTGACGGTTCTCCATCCGGGAGGAAGGAGTTTATCTGTTGGAATACACCATTCAAGGACCCAGGCGATCCCTCGTCGGGCCGTGGTGATGCATTCGCAGAGACAGCCCGATTAATCTGCCATCTCATCCTACGCGGGGTTCGCACCATTGCCTTTTGTCGTGTTCGAAAGCAATGTGAAGTCCTGCTGGCAGCAGTGAAAGCCGAGTTCACAAACCTTGAGAGACCTGAATGTGCTGCTTTGGTCATGGGTTATCGTGGGGGATACTCGGCTCAAGACCGCCGGCGTATAGAGTCCGAGATGTTTGGTGGGAAGCTCATGGGAATCGTTGCCACCACTGCCCTGGAGCTAGGTGTGGACATCGGATCCCTTGATGCTGTTGTCACAATGGGTTTTCCATACACCATTGCCAATCTGAGACAACAGAGTGGCCGCGCGGGTCGACGGAACAGAGACTCGCTTTCTGTTCTTGTCGGTGACTGTTTTGCTGTGGACCAGTACTACATGCAGAATCCCGACGAGATCTTCACAAAACCAAACTGTGAACTCCAAGTGGATCTACAGAACGAACTTGTGGTGGAAGGGCATATCCAGTGCGCTGCTTTCGAGATGCCTATCAAGGCAGACGAAGACGAAAAATTCTTGGGCAAGATGCTGGCCGAGATATGCACGGAGCGGCTGTCGTATGACCCCATGGGATTTTATCACTGCAACGAAAGATTTCGACCACTGCCCTCGAGATGTGTCCCCATCAGAGATACCGAAGACAATCACTTTGCCGTCGTCGACATCACACACGGCCGGAATGTGGTGCTCGAAGAAGTCGAGGCCTCCCGGGCCTTCTTCACATTGTACGACGGAGGGATCTTTCTGCACCAAGGTCGGACATACATAGTGAAAGAGTTCTCGCCCGAACGCAAAATTGCTCGGGTTCAACTCGTCAAGGTGGATTGGACCACACAGCAAAGAGACTACACAGACGTGGATCCCATCGAAACCGAACAAGTCCGCCGCGTATCGGCCAAATCCCTCACCAAGGCTTATTTCGGTCGTATCAAAGTACACGCCGTAGTGTTCGGGTTCTTCAAAGTTGACCAGAAAGGTCGCATTCTCGACGCGGTCGCCGTGGAAAATCCACCGATCATCATTCACTCCAAGGGGCTATGGTTAGACGTCCCCAAGTACGCATTGCAAATACTCAAGGATAAGCGACTGAATCTTGCGGCGGGTATTCACGCGGCAGAGCACGCATTGATGTCCCTTATGCCGCAGTTTGTCGTTAGCATGCCCGGCGACGTGCGGACCGAATGCAAAAACGCGCTGAAAGAATTCGCAAAGAAGGAGACTCAACGAAAGAGACCTGCCAGGTTGACCTTTTACGATGCGAAAGGTGGCCCTGCCGGCTCTGGGATAGCGGCAAAGGCATTTGAATTTATCGATATCCTGCTCGAACGCGCCGTTGCGAGGGTTGCAGCATGCCACTGTCTCGAGGGCTGTACGGAATGTATTTGCGACGAGCGGTGCAAGGAGAAGAACATGGTGATGAGCAAAGCTGGCGCAGAGGTGATTTTGAAGTCTCTCCTGGGTATGGAAATTGACGTCGACGCCCTCCCCGAGGGCGAGGAGGAGAGGGTTCCCGCGGGCGTGGAGACGGTAGTGTTTGCCACTGAAGTGATGGGTAAAGATGGGAGGAGAGTGCTCGAGAAGGACTTTATCAAGCGAGAAAAGAGTGACGATGATGCTATTATCATCAAGGATGAGCCTGACGACTGATTGGTTGGTTGCTTGGTTGACTTATTGATTGATTGATTGATTGTTGCGGCAGGGTTTTATGTATAGGTCTGGTGGATGATGATGATGACGCTGACGCTGAAAAATGTCACGAATCAATGAATGAAATAAATGGGTGTATGATTCCCAAACCTGCCCGTCCCAGAAGGCTGACAGCCCACGTATCTATCATCAGGAATCTATCCATCTATCTGTTCGGAGCGGGAGCGTCCAGTCCCTTAGTCGCATGTCTGACGAACCCTTCGGCCTCCCTTCTCAAAGTCGCGATGTTGATCGCTCCGGACCCATAGGCCCTCGCCACGGCAGCCTGGACCTCTTCATCCTCGTACAGGCTCTCGTCATCGCCGCGACTTCCGGGTTCGGACGAGCCGCCGCGGCCGCCGCTCTCCACGGCGACCACGGTACGCCAGTACGCGTCGTCGCGGTCTTTCAGCGCCGGGCTGCGCACCACGGCGTTACGCGTGATCGAGTAGGCCCGCAGGTTCGTTGCCGCCATCTGAAGGGACAGGTTCGCTTGGGTGAGCAGCTCGTCGGTACGGCGGCGCGCGAGTTCCGGGTCCGCATTGGACATCGAAGCTGTTGCTGTGGGGAAAAGGTAGAAGAAGCGCCCCGTCGCGGAGGCGTAGATGGCAAATGCGGCCAAGACGTCAAATGCGCACAGCGAT